GCAGTACTGGCTGGTCTACAGGGACCGAGACGGTGGATGAATGGGGGTGGTCCCCCTTTCCCCTTGAGGAGCTACACTTCTGTATCTTCACCTGTTGCCGAAACTAATGATAGCAGCTGCTGAAGCTGACCAGTTCTTCCTACTGGGAATCATCCTAAAAACCAGTAGCTCTCAGGAACTGGTTGCCGATTTTCTCCCTGTGATGTCAGTAGCAAAACTTACATTTTTTTCTTGAGAAAAAAATAATCCACTGGCTTGGAAAAACGTTGTCCAAATAAACTTCTAAAGACAAATTCTTAACTCGTCGTAGCAGAGACAGAAAACAGCCTCTTGTCTCTCCTATGGCAGTTCTCCAGCCACACCTGCAGACCTTGGGCAAGCACGAGCCAGAGCATCCCTCACTGACAAACACGAGATGGCAGAACCATGGCTTGGCTCCTTTCCCTCTCCTAACTCATGAGACTCTCTCAAAAATTCTGACGTTTTAACAGGAGTTCACGAAGAGTTGGGTTTTTTTATTTGCCTCCCTTCTCTTTGTACCTTTCAGATTCAAGTTGCAATCTGAAGGACTACAAGCATATTGAAAAACAAAAACATTCGGGATCAGCAGTTTTATGAAGATGTCGAAAATCACGAGGCTTGTGAAAAAACGGCAAGAACTAGCAGTGCTGTGCCCTCAGTTACCAGCAGCGAGGTGGGGGTGGAGACAGGAGACAACAGAAATCAAGTTTCAAGGAAACTTGTGATTTCCTTTTCCTACCACGGGTTCTCTCTCATCATACATGCCCACCTCCCCCAGGGAATGGCCACAATCACAGTTTCTGTCCAAAGGACGTACAGTATCTCAGTGTACAAAACCAGCGACCAGCGAAGCAAAGAGCAGACGACTCCCTGCGGGAGCTGCGTGACGGGTCTCAGGGGCAGCCGGTGCTGTGCCCCAGCGCTGGGACACAGCCCTGGGATTCTCGGGGCTGCCTCGAGTGCAACCAGGCAAATGCCAGTTTCCTTCTGACCTATTACTATATTAAACTTCCCTTAGAAAATGACACAGCCAACTGATGGGGCAGGAGTAGACACTCTAATATTAATTACTAAAACTGCAGGAGGTTAATTAGTTTTACTGAATAATTACTCAAATGGACTAAACCCCAAATCCAAAGCTGTGTGCTTGTTTACCTGCCTAGAGATTCTTCGTATCTCGTGACACTGAAACTGATCTCATTTGAGATCCAGATTTAACTCCAGATTTAATCATTTCTCCAGTGCTGCATGGCACAGACCCAGCCCCTGGAATGAGGTTTGACTCCCTTCAGTCTGCAGGTTACAGACAGCAGTCAACTGCACTGTAAACCCAACTGAGAGAGGGAATAGAGCAGTGGTAAGTGAAGTGACAATGTTGGCATAAGAAAAGAGCGGAAAAACTGACCAGGAATATATTTAGGTGATAAATTATAATACCTTTAGTGATTCATGCTATTGCAATTTATTAAAGGATTACTGCCCCCAGCTGCCAAATCACATGTTAAAGTCAACTGCTCTCCATTACACTTTAAATTAAAATGCTGGGCAGGCACAGTGACATCCAAGAAGTTCACTTATGTGACCTCGGAGAGGTCGATAGCTGGGCTCTGGTAAATAGTCTCAGTTTGAATTTCCAGAGCTTATCTGGAGACATCCTTACAAGGTTGCTAATCGCTACAGCCATGAGGTTCTGGCAAATAAAGAAGCCTAACGATCTTTAAGACAAAACTCAAGACATTTATGAAAAGAATTATAGGAACCTAGTGCTTGTGACATTGACCTGGTGACTCCTTTGGTCCTATTCAGATAGACTGGGGAAATCCCCAAAGGCAAATGATTAGGATGTACGGTGTATTTCTTCTACGCATGATGTAACATGGTGCTTTTGTACCAAACAGCACAGTAATATTCCATGGTAAGAAGTTACCTACAAGCAGTCACGTAAGAAAAACTTACCGATCTAATGTTAAACCAATTTAAAGTGGATTAATAAAATATCATCAACTCGTAATGTAAATGACCTTTTTAGAATTCCATTCAACTTAACTAATTTCAGTTCAACTAAAAATCTTCCTTAGGCAAACACCCATTTTAGGGAACAGTTTCAAGGACATGAATAAGATTATTTCATTCATCTTTCTTAGAAGGTCATTTCCACAAAGCAATGTTTTGTTTGCTTGGTCCTTATGATATCACTGTAGACAGATTTCATACATACATAAACTTCCCCCGATCACCAGTTCACTTCCTCCGCCTTTCATTGTCCTTCTTTATGTCACCAAACTCCTAGCTGTCTCTAAATATATCCAGGGGATGTGTATGTAAGAAAAAGTTACAGAATTGGCAATATAATCCTATCCGAGTCTGTCCTGGAGATTAACTTCATAATTGACAAAGCAGGAAGATCAAACGCTACTAATCTGCGGCTATTCAAAGTCACCTATGGCTGTATATAGAACTACCTTGCTTTATACTATTTACACAGTTATATTTACTACTTAGCATGAAAATTTACAATATAGGTAAACTTCAGGTAATAAGGCTTGAAAGAAGTTTGCATGGAGAAAACAACCTGTAAGTTATCAGCATCATTGCCAACAGGCATTGGCATAAAGATGTGGCTCAGGATAGAAGCGGCCTGGGGAGTTATCAGTACCTCTTCCATTCTTGATCATACCGCATGCTAAAGGGATTTACCAGAAAGCACCTGATCTAGTATACAGACATTTTCCCCATCCTTTCTAGTGTTATGGAAGAGCCCTGTTATAGGCTGAAACCAAAGCCTTTATACAAACATAGCTTGTGTGCCAAGTGTCTACAGTACATTCATCTTGGACAAAAATAAAAGCAGCCAGTAAAAAGAAACTTTTAGGTCCTAATTTTTTATTGAAGAGGATTGAGAAGAAATATGGGTTTTTTTTCTGGAAAACAAAGCCATTTCTCAGGAATTTAATGTTCCTTTGGGTCAAAATAAGGGAAGCACAGAACCATGGTTAAAGCAAATACACAGTAATACAGGTTATTCGCCTGCAGCAGCTTTACCTTAAAGATGGTTTTACACAAGAAGTTCCCCTTAGAAGCAAAGCCTCTGAGATGTCTCTGCTCATTCCCACCTCTGAACTGCAATTTGGTACCCCCCTCAATTACGCTGGCACAGCTGTTTGCAGAACATGCTATAAAACAGATCACTGGGATAATCTTGGTAAAAATGAAAACGACACCACTTCTCTCTGGAGGGATATTTTTAACCTGCAACCCCAGAAGCAGTTGTATCAGCAAACTGGAGAGAGCAGACACTACAATGTGAGGAGAACTGAAAAGCAGTTTGGGAATGAGGAGAGAAAGAGATATGCAGGAACTTCTCAAACAGGCTTCACTGCCAAAAACCATCTCATGCAACCAGACACCTATCTCCTCCTGGCTCACACTTAGTGGAATTCTTCAGATTAGTGTGAAATACCAAAAGCCACATCCAGCACTTTCTATGTATTGCTTTAAGCAAACAGAAGGTGGAGAGAGTCTGCACACAAGCAAAATATTGCACAGGGTGAAAGCAAGGGCCATTTTCTAATGCCTTTTTTATTTTTTTTAAAGTCCAGTGTATTTTTGCATAAAAAGTAAGAAATTCTAAAAATATTATCTTTAGAAATACAAAAGCTCTTTTCTCAAACACTGCAATTTAAATTTCCCACACTAACATTTATGTCTAATGAAATTTTGCTTTCTTTAAAGATCAGAAATACATTTCACTCACCTTCTGTAGGTAGGTGGCTGATCTGGAAAACCTAAAATACTCTTACAAGATATCATCTTTCTTGCCCCTGAGTACATCAACAGGCTCTGCAGCCTCTCCTCCTGACCTTCCTAGGGGTTTGGTGGCAGGTGCCCAACAGCAGCTCTGATGTGGTGCAGCTATAACCTGGGATCAGGCTGCTGGAGAAGATCTATGTGAGACAGACCTGGGAAATGCCTCAGCAGAGGCTCAGGAACACCGTTTATGCTTAGTCCCTCACCCCGGGTCATGTCGGAGCTGTGCTACGGGTACACTTGTGCCCAGCCTTGCACCTCGCTGCTCCTGCCCTGCTGCCCCAGCTGCTGGGCTCAGCCTTGGCCTGGTCACATCAATACGGACCTAGCAGGGAATCGGGGCTCTGGGCTGACCCAGGCTCCCTGTGGCCTCCTGCTCGGCTCAGCCAGCACGGGCACAGCGGGATGGCACCCTGCAGGGAGGCACTGCCACTCGCTGCTCCTGCTTTCCCCCACCGAGCAGCCCATCTCTCTTACACCCTGACAGCATCACGTGCTGGGCTGCCCAACAGACACTGATCAAGGTGACCCCTATCAAACTGAGATTTTATAAAAAATTCAGAGTTTTGCAGATAGTCAGACAGAATCCATAAGGCAGCTAATATGCTAGCACCCTGCACAAGATGAAGCACAGCGTTTCACTGAATACAGCAGTTTCCAGAAGCACCTCTCAGTGTATGTTTTAAAGAACAGCACATTGGCTACCAACTTTGCAAGAATACACTGTGAGTTGAAAGAAATCGCTGTTGTGTTCACAGCATGTCTGGTCAAGGATCCTCTCTGTTGTAGGTGACACTGTCACAAGACCTGTGGTTACCCCCTTTGCTTTGCACCATCTGTTTTTCATTTTCTGTTTTCCAGAAAGGCATCTGCCACACATGGGTAAAAATGATCTTGATTCAATATCTCCTCCAAAAGATACTGCCCTGCCAGATCAGAACAAAGCTTAGAACTTCATCCAGGGTAGCATTCGCTGTATTCTCAGCTGTGACGTGACGAAAGATCTGTGGCCTTCTGGCACCAAGGAGGCAGAGCGATCAACCCGTCTTCTCTGACATGGGTTGATCACTTCTTCTTCAGATCCCTGCTGCTTTAGAAGAGTGATTGCCATCAGGCTTGCATGCTAACAAGGTAAGGACAACTCCTCTGCTGTGGCTGTGCTCTGCGTTGGCTCAGGATGGTGATGGAGCAGGTGACACCACGTGAAGATGTTTCCTTCTGACAATGGATCTGAGAGATGCTGAGATCTCTCTGTATCGAAGCCCATACAGAAAAGGGAACAAAACTTTAGGCAGAATCATCAGGACATTGCAGACTGTCAGGGAGACCCAGATTCCTGTTTGCAGTCTGACGATAATGTTAATGCACAAGAATGACTCTACAAAAAGGGCCAAGAGTGGAAAGAAGTAAAAAAATAACACAGTGTTGTGCATTAAGAACGTTACACTGGCTCTGGAGCAGATGCTCTCCCATATACCCGATCGTTTCGTTTTAAAATACAGAATAGCATAGCAACAAAATATTAGAGACAGGCAGAGAAAGATAACCGTGGTAGAAAGCCAGAAACAGAGCTTCACAGCATCAGTCCCATTTAGAGTTAATATTAGTATTACTGGAACTGAGCATATTTCCAGGACACAGGGCAGAAAGCTGTGAGTGCTCGATAGCACCAAAAAGAAAATCCCAGGGAAAGCCCCAGAACACATCCATAGTAATACAATAATTTTTTTAGCTCGTGAGGGAGGCAAAATAGCAATGTAGCGCAAAGGAAACAAAATAGCTATGTATGTGTCCAAGACTATTGCAGCAGCTGTGAACAATCCTCCACAGTAAGCCACTGCCAGCAAAAATAATAGGAGGACACAAGCTTCCTTTGGCAGATGTACATGTGCTGCGCTGAGAGCAGCTGACAGGGTGTAGAACAAAAGGTATGTCAGATCAGAAAGCAGAGCATTTCCCAGCAGCATGTACCTTGTTTCCTGACGGATGCTAAACCTAGAGAAGATCACAAACAAGATGGTAGGAATGATGAGGACACCTGCCACGAGGCAGACAACTGGAGGGATTAAAAACATTTTCATGTTTGTGCCTGATGAGTTGAGAGCCCATTCCTCCAGCAAAGAGTACAAAGAAGCGTCATCCAAATTTGAGGAACTGTTGAACTCCACCTCCCTGTGGTGGTATCCAGTTGCATTCGCTCTCTTTACTGAAGCGCAGCCAGAGAAGTCCATTTCCTTAGGATTTTGGGATGATTGTCTGACTTGGAGAAAGCAAGATCTTCTACACTGAGTCCTTAGAAAGGCAAATGAAGCAGAGGATGCAAAAAGCCTGTGGAAGCAAAGTGATTTCTGTAGCCAATTCTACCAGTTCTTCTCAAGGACAGAAAGTTGAAACTTGTAAGTGAATTCTGCAGTGCCAAAAGGTGGTTTTGCCTAAAGTGGAGACTTTCTTTTCTTTCTGCAAAATCTAATGTTTAGAAGAAGAGAATAAATCCTTGTGTGCTTTAAAAAAAACCTCTAAATCCCTCAGCTAGCTGTTTGATCAAAAATGAATGGGTTGATCATTTTCAGTAATTTGAGTTTGTTCTCATCACATTATCACTCCAACAAGGCAGATGAAATATTAGCTTGATTAAACAAATATGCGATGATACAGAACAACATTCCACGTGTACTGATGTAGGAGAGTCATAAATGTGATTGGGTGATGTTTTGTACCAATTTGTATGCAACAACACAATTGATTTGAAGTGATCAATAAAAATGGCTCTCAATCCTGTTGTAAAATTGTATCACAATGGCTCTAGTGAATGAAATTATCTTATTTATAGATGACAAACATTTTTGCTTCAGTGAACCAAATCATGTTATTTATAGATTCCTTCCCCTGCCTTTTTTAATGCACCATGTACAAATACTGAATTTCCATCTATTGCAGACTTATATCTGTGAATTGTCTGGGATAAGTGACATGCACTACAACATACTGACATAACCTACAGCAGACTGGGCATGACATTTCCAATGTCCATTTGGAGACCAAATCTTGGCTTGCTGGCCAGCACGCTGCTGCTGCATTGCTCAGCTTTTACTATCAGATCTCAGTATCAGACGTGGGGGTGCAATGAGAGAACTGTGAAGGATCTGGACTGCAGAGAGGAAACTCTTCAAGTTCTTCAAGGCATGGTCTGATCAGAAGAAAAGCTGGTGTTTTGTTTTGTTTTTTAATAGGCTCAACACTGGCTAATAATGCTTTAGTTTTAATCAAAAAGACTGTATTGATGCAGTTGTTCATCATCTTGTGTGATGCAAAGTGGGCATAGCAGCACTCTTTTATTTCCTGGCCTACACCCCCTGCAGTTGCTTACCCCTGCGTACACCGCACAAAGCAGCGCACCACTGCTACAACATCACACTAACTTTGCTGTTTACACAGGGCATAAGCAGCAAAGATGAGATCCACAGAATATGCAGCTTTGTCAAGAGCTCTGGGTGCTCTTCTCATTGGTGGTGCAGGGGTATCCTGGAGCTTTTTAAGTAATGATAAACACCAAAGGATTACTCCCAGTATCTGAAACACAGTGTGTGCACAAGCCAAAGGTCTATTAAAATAGTCAAAATAAGTAGTCAATTAAATCTGCTGGCTGCTCAGCTGTTTTGAAGTTACATTATTTATTTAGGTGCCTAAAAATAAAAATGTCTAAGTTGAGACAACCCTTTTGGCAGTCCTGACAAGTCTACCAGGACCTCCCACGTTCACCAGCATGGTCAAATCTTTAATTATTGTTTCAAGTATGATCTTCCTTCTCCTCTCAAGTAATATCGATTCTACTACTGACAATGCAAGAGCAGAGGGAACGTGGCTCCTTACTTAACATGGCATTGTCAAATTCATTATTTCCCCAGCACTACCAGCATGCTTGAACACTTTAACAGCATATAGAAATGCAGCATGCTTCCATCCATGGGAGACAGTGCACAGTCTCACCTCGCAGAAAGTCGTGCTGTGGCACGGACATGCTGTCTCAGGGCATGCCAAGTAACAAAGCAAACAGCTTTTGAAACTCGGCATCAGTCATCAAGTCTTGTGCACATTTCATTTCCTTACACACTGATAGCTGGCATCCATGGAGCTGTATGTTAAGACAGTTTGACAGGCTGCACCATATGGAACAAAGGGATAGGAGGAAAAAACAATGATAATTTTAAGCACAGCATTTCAGTTGCCGTGGTGCCCAGGTAGGCAAAACAGAAGGTGATTATTTTTGCTCACTCAATCCTGCATCCCCTGAAAAAAGCGTGTGAACAATATTGATGCAATTATACATTTGGCCTCAGGATCATGCTCCGCATCTATCAATGAGTCACAACACAGTTAATACCTTAAGTAGACAGTAGCACTCAAACACCCAAACTGTTGAATTATACTATTATTGAAAAATGGAAGGGAAGCTATGAAAACTCAAGTGTGTACAAATCGCTTCCAACCATAATTTCAGACCTCTGTTAATGGTGGAAGTGTTTGCTGCCTCCCAGCTCTTGGCATTCCAAGGACGTCCTATTAATGGGCAGATTCTCTGTTTTCCATATAAAAATCACAACTGTATTTTCCACCAGCTGGTTAGGATTAAATGTGAACAAACAAAAGTGTTCATTGTCATCTCAGCTGCAGAGTTTTGGCCGAAAGAAAAATAAATGCAAATACGTTATACAATAATTTGCTGGCATTTATAGGAGTGTCTAATGCAGCCAAGTATTTCACAGAGTGATGTTATACAGCACTGTAGTTCTGCAAAGATATATCTCAAGGGCTTGTTTATATATAGTTGTTCAATTAACAAATAGTTCTTATTTTTCAGTCTAATTATTTTTCTCCTGATGCCTGAAAACAACATCCTTATAGCAGAGCTATTTCTTCCTCTTGGATAAAAGAGCTGGTTATCATGGGCTAGAAGTCCCAGCTACATCTGGAGGGTAACAAAACACTGACATCCTCACTACTGAAAAGGACAAAGCAAAAGCGGTAACTCTAGCAACCTTCAACTGAACCACCTTTTAAAAATCCACTTCTATGGCCATAAAAGTGTAAATGTGAATAATGTAAGGTAAATAATGTGAAGGGTTAGCAAAGGTATGACCTTGCCAATTTTTCTGCAGTAGCTGGCTGCAGGTTCACTCTCAGCTCATAGATCCTCATGACAAATGCAAAGTAGCTCATGACTCTTATTTAGCCCGCATGCAAAGAGTACCACAGAGCCCATGATACATCACAAGTTTACAGGCTTGCTTATCCTGTGCTCAACTATTCATCTGCTACAGCCTATGATGGCAGAGTAAGCCCTATAGCATGAACTTGTGCAGCTTTAACTGTGCTACTCTAAAGTCTTAGGAGTGCAGGCAGGCTTTAGTTTTACAAAAATGGAAAATAGCAAATAACTGAAAGACAAATTCAACCCCATCAGACCTGGGCAAGTCCAGCCAAAGCCACTCCCCTCAGATTTCCACAGGGTCTTATAACTGTTCAGTATAGCTCTGCAAGATTTAAACATTTAAAAGGTTGGTGTCTTGGCACACTACTGATATATGCCCAGAATAGGTGGCTCTGGAGGATACCTGGCTGTTGTCTCTTTTCATTTTCTTGAGCTTAGGAGGCATTTCCACATCTGGACCATTTGCAAGGGGATGGCAGCTCTGAAGACCACTCCTGAGGATTCTGAACTGACAGCTCCTTGCCATTGCATCTCAGTCTTCAATATTTTGTGGTGCCAACCTGAATGATTCTCCTGCAATTTCCTGTAAACCTGGCCTTAATGCTCTAGTTATTGATTTTTTTAAAATGCTCTCTGGTAAATTTATGTTAGATGGATGCACTTTTTACATATCTTGCTGATTCAGACCTACAGTATTAGCAGCCCCTCTTCTGGCTCTTATTCTGGCTCAATACAGTCTGTATTGATTTTCAAACTAAATCACACACTGTTAAGTACTTTACTCATTTCTGCTTCAAACAACATCCCACTGAAAGCTTAGTTATCTTATCTGTTGAGTTTGGGAGATCTCAGAAAGCATGCATTCAGCCATACTGAACACTGTAAATCCAGCAAAGACTGTACTACATTATATTCTGTTAGTGACTATAAATAGGTATTGTCAAATTGAACAGAAAAGGTCAGAAATATTACTGCCTTACAGTAGTTGGTATGGACTTAACTGTGTACACCCATAGGGAAGCTTCCTATTTCACAAAGAGTTTAGTCTAACAGATTCAACAAATCAAAAAGCACACTGCTGCCATGACAGGGAAGCACCATAGAAGAAAGGGAAGCCAACCAGAATAATGCTAAGATTTCCCCAGCCCTTTATCCCAAGAGATTGTGTTAGGAGGGGATACCCAGAGGAAGTGCGTGACTAAATTGCATGCTCACATTCGCCTCTGAGATTCCCTGGGTGCCATCATGTCACTGGCCTCAGTATGAGCATGGAGTCTTTGACGTGGTTGCCTGTTCCAACATCACACACCAGGTCCTAGCCTAGAAAATGATACTGTGGTTTGGGTCTGCCCCAGAGACTGATCTGCCTGGCCAGGAGCCCAGGGAGAGCAGTGTAGAAAGGCTGCCTCAGAGTCCACCACAGCTCCTTGAACAGAAGTTTTTTGGATGATGCAATTGGGCTCAACAAATCAATATTTTCACTGGAACATTGCTTCATATGGATATTTCCAGCCATGTTTAGTAACAGAGCCTTGAGCTCAGGAGCCTTCATATGCTATTGCAGTTTCTTCAACTTCCTTCGAAGAATGTCCCCCTTCCTGGCTTATCTAGGTCCAGAAGGCATCTCTCTTGCTGGTGAAGCTCTCCCAGCCATGAATAGCCAAGTGCCTATGAGCAGGCCAGCTCCTCCCAGCAGGGCAGAGAACCAGCTGCAATTATTTCCTGCCTGTATCCATATTCTCACTCTGGGGAAATGAGCTGCTGTCAGTGAAAAAAACAGGTAATCAGAACAGTTTAACTGTACTGTTTTTCTGGTTGAGCTTTCCCTTTTTCTTCTCCTTTAGATAGTCAATTAAAAGACAACTTTTTTCTAAACTTTTAAGATCCCCTCTAAACTTTTCTGCCAGCCTCTTCAGGGTCAGGACCCGCAGGGGAGTGGTACAGCTTGACTGTCCTAGTCTCCATGCCTCAGCTATCTGTCTCCACTTGGCTCCAGAACTATTGTTCAGCACCTTGCTTGTT